TTCCAACTCGGTCGCCGCGCCGGACCAGCATTGGAACGACGACAAATGCTGTGGCCAACCGTTGGAGCATCACCGTTTTATGTTTCCAACCGTTTGATCAACACGCGGCCGACATTTTTCCAACATTTGTTCAACGTTGGTCCAACGTCTTTCCAACACGTTTCCAACACGTGTGCGTTGAAACAAAAGTGCTATCAGGTTCCCGTGACTGAAGTTGACTACTGTGGGCCAATTTAGGCACAATCGCATTGAATCCACCTGAATTGGCCCGCGGTTGTCAACTGGTGGGTTTGGAGGAGGTGCGCGGGTCAACAATTGTGAACACGCGCCGAATACATCAAAAAATTGGAGCCCACGAAAGAGGGTCGCACCCCCGGGCAAAGGAAGATGAGGCCGGTCGTAGTTGAAGGCCCGCGGAGCTCCCTCCGCGGACGATTCCGAATCCTGCTGCATGCGCAGTGATACGCTCGAGCCTCGGAAGGGGGCGAACGGTTCGCGGCTGTTTGTTCAGCGTGGAATGAGATGGTGCCCATGCAAAGGAACTGCCCCCGCACTTCCTCCTTTGTGCACATCGCCAAAAAACCCTGAAAGGAAAAAAAAATAAAACAAAAAAAAAGCAAAAAAGAAACGGAAAACCAGGTAGGCGAAGGGAAAACGCCGGCGACTACATAATGTCACGGAACGACCTCCTTGTGGTTGGTCCACCCACGCTCCCATGCCCATCGCCCCCTTTTTTATTTTTTTGTTTTTTCTTTTTTTTCCCTGAAATTGATCGCGCCTCAGAGTAAGGACGTCTCCCTCGAAGACGGTGTCGCCGCTGCGTGGTCCGGACCCACCAAATACGATGTACGGCGTTGTGCTGCAGGGAGGGGGAAATTATGTCCCCTGGTAAAAAAACATGCGTCGCTTCCCCGATCCCCGTTGTTTATTATTAAAATATTTTTTTTTTTTTTTTTTTTCCGCGTGTCGTCCCCCACCCGCATTCCCCCACCAGAGCCGAACGCCCCGCCGTGCCGCCTACCACGGCTGTGGTGTCCGGCAAGGCCCCATGCTGCAAACGGTCCATTTTAAAATTTTTTTAGGGCCTCTGAAGCGGCAGTGAGGGTCGTGGATGTTTGGGTTTTTTTTTTTCCATTTTGTCTTCAGCCGTTGCACTAGCGTAGCCACATCCAGGCCTGTTGTGGTACTGGTGCCTCTTCACCCTACTGGTTGTTCACTACCGGTACCTTTTTCATGAC